GGGCGTTGATAAACGACGCTTCTTGTTTTTGTTCCTGTACACCATAGCCTCCTTGTGTTTCGTAGGACTCTATGAATCAACGTCGAAGCGGATCTAGAGGAAAGAGGAGAAGAGGTGGTGCAAGCGATTGAAAATGTTCGCATATACCAAGGACAAAAAATCCTTAAACTATTCATCCCTAAATGAAAGAAGCATTAGTTTTATAGAAATTTGACATTTCATTAATGAGGCTTTTGCTGAGTTTGTGCCAAATGTCCTAGGCGTATGTAATAATAAGCCCTATAATGAAGGCCGACATGATTTGAAAATGAGTTCATGTCAGATTTCATTCGCTTATATTTCACAGAATATCCGATGCTTCAGCAAATCCTAGAACTCAGTTTGAACGAGAAAGGCAGACCTTAAAGGGGGATGTGGAAAGGAAAATTTATTATAGAGCTAAAGAAGCTCCAATCATTGTTTTTTAAATAGATATTTAAGGATGTTCCACCGATTTTGAGACCTTGCTTCTGCTCAAGCAAGAAGCAAGTAAAACAAAAATTGATTTTCTAGCGAATAGTGTAATTAGTGAGTTGGATTAATGTGATCATTTGCAGACATTGTCCCAGCTGGCGATGATGGAGGCTGACATGCGGAACGCCAACGCAGCTATGGCCGGCGAACTCTATCCACTGGCACAGCAGAAGGCTACTACAGTGATTCACGAAGGTCGTGACATAGCTGGTTAGTGTAAAGCGATTCTTTTGGATAGGTATGCTTTTCGCGAAAGCATTCAACAAGTGCAGACTCTAGTCATTCTCTATCGACCTCTCGGACTGCTATAAATCCCAGAATCTCGAATGAACTCCTAGAGTTCTGTTACCCATTCACTGTTCCATACCTCTATTAACTTATCTTAATATAAAATTCTTTCAATTCGAAACTGAATTTCTAGCAATTCCCTCAAGCATTTCATTAGCGCTCATTTCCACATCTTTACTTGTGACAACCATGCAACTTCTCTGCTTTTACAAGAAAGCCAGGTGAATAGCAGAACTGAAGCCATAAATGAGCCCTATGGCACTTTGTGCGATGCGACAGCTAGCTGTAGTGGTTAACAATGCCTTCTGATTATCCATTCTGATAAGGTTTTTCATGTGCTACCCCTCTTCCTATATTTCATCCAATTATTATATTCTACTTCTT